TGGAAAGTGGTAGTTCTGTCAATGAAAGAAATCATGTTTATAGTTTTGCAACATAAAACTGATTATTATAAAAGTGTTATTCACTTAAAGCGGCGCGTTTAAGCTTTTCCTTTTTTTTGTATATATAAAATCGCTACAGCAGTGGATATTTATAATAATTCTACCCAAAGTTTCAAATAAAAAGGTCAGCGAATGCAAACGTCATCTCTGTGAGCCAAAACCTCAGCGTTAGACTGCTCTGAATGTTCAGTTATCAAAAGGATTTTCTACTCCTGGGGCTCGTCTCATTTAGAGAAGATGTCTTTGTTATAATCATCACGAGTGTCGCTCTGAGTGAAGAAACCACGCTCACTTGTTATCAGCAAACACTTAGGGAGGTGTGACCAATCAGAAGAAAGTCAGTTCCAATGAAAGGGTGCTAAAAATGGGTCATTTTCTAACAAATTGAGATGAACTGAGAGGCGGCTCCAAGGCTCAGTATCACATAAATAAAGATTATTTTGAACTGTGAATAATGCAAAGCTACTCTATAAGAGTTTAACAGTAACAATACAGAGAGCAGGTCCTCCTTAAGGAAAATGAAAAACAAAACAAAACATGTAATATCATTACAATAATTTCATTACTGAAAAAAAGATAAAATCAAATGTTTGAAAGAGTAATTAGTTTTTGATTTCTATTTCGACTTGTGATTTTTACTTAAGCCTTGAACAGGATATTAAACATTTATTCTTTTGAGCCATGCGGCCCATTCAGGAACATTTCCTCACACATACAAACATCACAGATAATCTGTTCTGTTCACTTTGGCACTGTTCTACTGACCCAGAGCTGATCTCAGTGGAGGCAAATAAAATTCTCAAACGCAAAATTATGGCAATACCTTCATCTTACTGCTGAAGACAGATATTTCACTTTACTGGAGCTACATAAAAGACAGTATTTGGGATTTGGGGAAATGCGCTCATCTGCTTTGTTGCTTAAATTCAGATCTATGCTATGCAGCAGGAAAAATATGAAGTGAAAGTTAGCAAACGGTGAGCTTAGCTTTAAGACTTGAGGCTGACTTTGTCCATCTAAACTTCTAAATAATAGCAATAAATGTCAAAATGTTTTTTTTTTTTTTTAATGGAAAGCTGTCAGGTAATTAGCTCTAAACTGACAGATTCGATGTTACATTACTCGAAAAAAAACAGAAGGAACTGGCTGTAAGTCATGTCATGTTTGCACGCCAACAGGCTCCTGGTGGTGAAGAATTAGGTCTTGTGGAAATGCATCTAGTGATTTCTACTTATGACAATAACGGCTCCTTTCAAAGGAGTGGAAGAAAGGACCGTTCATTGATAGATGGTAACGATGTTCTCCTTATTAGTCTCCTTACATTTTCGATTTAAGTCAGATTCATGTTATAAATGAAGAAAAAACAAAAAGATGACGTGCACACTGGATCTGTAATTACAAGCTTAACAAAGGCCAAAACCACAAATACTAAAGACACAACCAAACAAACAAAAAAATCTTAAAAAAAAAAGTGATAAAAGACGCAGGAAGCAGAGGTGCCATTTTCACTGTTCACAATCTCTGCATGTGTTGTAAGGCAAAATAAAATCTGAGGGTATTTTTAAGCGTTTTGCTTTCGTCTGGGGAGGTTACGAGTTGGCAACATGATGGCAGGGGGCACGTACGCACAAGTTGCTCCTTAAGGAAGACTTGTGATCCATCTTGACCGACCCGCTCTGTATTTTCCGGGGTTGTTCTGGTTCACGCCACTTAAGCAGCAGAGTGATTCATCAGTCGTCAATGTCCTCATACACATCATCATCAAAAGGCCGCGCAGAAGACAGCTGCAGTCTGTGACGGGAGTACTTGAGCTGAAGGAGGTCTCCAACCTCACTGATGACGTTCAGCGCCTGTGGAGACATTTATACAATGAAGAAGAAAAAAAAAATGCTGTCAGTCTGAAGGCCAACATGAAGAGCGAGGACGTTTACAGATGCAGAGACACCAGCCTCGTAAAACCAAATTGTAAACTGGGGCCGAAGCAGGAAAGATCTCTGGTTTGAACTTGTACATTTTTCACTTCTATTACCTGGGTGTTAGAGCAAAGTGATGAGTTCATACAGACACGTCTTCCAAACAGCAGCAAATCGTCATTCTATCTAAAGCTCTTCAACTAAGGAGGACATATTCACTCTGAGCGCATGAGCTCTGGTTAATGCAACTGAAGTGCTACAGTTCAAGCTGTTATAGCATAAGGTCGACAATAATTACACAATGTAGGGATGAGTATATATTGCTGAAATGAGTCTTTACATTTTAATGTGGTTTTGCTTTGTTGCATCATGCATGTTTGTTTCATCAGTTTTAACTTTAAGCTTCATCAGTAGACTTCTGCTCACTTGAGGTCAGAGCAACAAGCTGCAGAACAAACAACCTTTTAAAAAGTTTTAAGATTCAATACTGTCAGCTCAACAGCACATTAATGGGTTAATTGGCATAAATCTGGACTCCCGTTTTTATGAATCTACAGTTTCCTTTTTAAAATTAATATTTCTCTCTCAAGATTGCAAATGCTACATTTTGTTCACCAGCTATTTGTTAAATCCCTCAGTCCTGCAGCACACAGCTGCTTTTCTGAAATAGGAAACGAGATTTATTGTCGCACATCTCACACTGGTGACATTAACCAGGAATAATAAAGTAACAGGCTGGAAAAGAAATACAAGAGAAAAAAAAAAAAAAAAGTGGAGAATTTCCAAAAATTCAGAGTAAAGTTATTTCTCCCAGTGCGTCAAAACCTTATACAACGCGTTTTTGTTCTGAAATTAGAGCTCTGGAGTAACATGCATGCGTGGAGTACATTGTTCCCATTACACCAGATGTTTATTCACCAATTCCTGGACTTATGCAACTTTGGATAAGTGACTATTTATGGGGCTTGAGGAGTTTTTCAGTGTTTCAATGTGTGTAGGTTGCCAGTAAAGCAATATATACCTTCTGTTTATGGTAAAGCTTTGTGAGGATGACAGATGGGCTTTGTATCACATCTTAAAGTATAAAAGGAACTGAAATGCTTTATTGCAGTCAAATCATGAGTATCTTTCTGTGTCGTTTCGGCCAAATATTAAGTTGGTTCATCTCCTTAATCAAGTAAGGCTTTTCAGGTAGACTAAAAAAAATAAAAAAATGAAATAAAAAAAAAATATTTCATGGAAGAATCAATCACTATTCTACCTCTGATGCTTTTAACATTTTGAGCCATCAGATGTCGAAGTAGCTCCTCCAAATCAACACTAGGTGGACAATTTTGTAACAGTCTCCACATTTTCAGATACATTAGTTATAACCTGACATTTAAGGTTGACAGATTATTGCGGTCAGTAGAATGAAATAACGATGGCAATAAAAGGATTTAGGTCGGGATGTAAGTGTGGGTGTGAAAGAGTGAAAAGATAATACTCTGAAAGCTCGCCAGCGGATAAAAGAAACACACAAACCAAGATGACACTTCAAAGTGCATGAGAATAATACAGAGAGGAAGACTAACGGAGACAGATTTTACACCATGACAGATAAAAGCACTACGGTACAGTACTCCCACTCCTTGTCTTCAGCTTATTTTGTTCAATTTTTTGAAGTGCACCGAGAATAATAGGAAGATACCATAACCCTGGATATACAAAACTTCCTGGAGACACTGTTTGTATCTGCGCCAACTGAGCAACACACATTAGACAGGAAGCACAGGAGAAAGCTCAACCTCTGTGTGAGAGGATTTACATTAGTGTCAAAATGAGAAAAGAACCGTGGAGGATCTAAGACGGTGGCCCGTAGTGAAGAGCAAACAGGTCTGCAGTGAGCTCATTTCAGCAACGCAGAAGAGCCCTCGCTGTGAAGAGTGGGCGGATTTAGATGTGTTGTAATCAAAGCTGAACTGCCTGCACTTACACAGGCCAACACAAAGAGCAATGTAGAGGTCTACACTCAAAACACAGGGAACAAACAGTACGTTAACCTGCAGAGTGATACAGCTGACACTTTATTTTTATATGGAGCCTCTTCTGGGAGACTTTTCCTGACACTCTCTAAATCCAAGTGAGGCATTCTTGTCCTTTGGTGCACTATATGAGAGTGAGAAGTGAGATTTGTGTCTCAACAATCCAACATAATGACTCCTTAAAAGTACATATATTTAACTTTGAATTTTGAATGCGTTTGCACTAACGATAACATAATGCACAGTGAAACCCGCAGATCTGCTCGGGCTGGGGGAGCTCCCCTCCACCTCTTTACAGGTCCCATGTCGTTAGGTTTTTACTACTGTCCACTCAGCACTTTACAGTCCATCCCTGATCATATTGGAAGGGTAAACTACCTTTAAAAAAAAACAAAAAAAAAACAAAAACAAATAAAGAACATATCCTTAACGGACCTTCCTTCTTACAGTAGTTGCGTGAATACCTCATCCCACGTTACCACCTTCAACAAATCTCTCCCATTTCCTCCAGTTTTTATGAAATTGGTCCATTTTAAGGTTAAAAAAAAAAGTAAGTTTTTCCATTCTATATATTTCCTCCATTATTCCTATCCAATCTTTCTTTGTTGGGGGCTCTTTCTCCAGCCACCTCCTGGTAAGCGCTTTTTTGCCAGCTCCCAACAGGATGTTTATCAAGTATTTGTCCTTTAAGGAGGCTGCTGATGGGATATCGCCCAAGTACACAGTACAAAATAGGGCTGGCCAATTGAGTTGAGATTGTGGGTGATCTACTTATAGGGCAGCTACCCATGTACGTGGACGTCATGATGGGCGAAACTGTTTAACCAAAAGCTTTGAGTGCTGCAGGTTGGATAGCATCGCAGGGAAAAGGTGAGCTTTATCTCTTGTTTATTTTTTATTTTTTGAAGAAAAAAAAAGGGGGGGGGAAAGAGTGCATTTTCTAGAATAACATCAGTTTAAACTCAGTTTTTCAAGAGTGCACTGATGCATGGACTCTCTAAGCGTCACTTGTTGCAGACACGAGTGCTAGTCATTGCAACAGTGCATGTTGCATTCTTGACAACAAAGCTTGCTTATCGAGATGGTTATCAAGATAAGACACTTTGTCTAAATCATCATGTAGTGGCGTCTTAGAACTGCCGAAGCCCTCAAGCAGAACAAAGGAGTCGGAGAAAATTGGTCATGAATCACTTAGGAATGTGTTAACAGGTTACAGGATGTAGCTCACATTATGCTTTTAATGACTTTCATATCCTTCTAAAAATGTAACGGGCAGACTGACAGGTTTGAGAGCGCAAAGCGAAATTCAGTTCTCACTTTGTGCTTATCAGACTGTTGAGGTTTTTAATGTAAATCTGGTGCTTCTAAAAATAAAATAAAAACATTTTCACATATTCGTGAAAGAGGGAAGCAACAAGCAACGTTTTGAGGGACTGAGAGACTGCAGCTGTTCATGCGTATCTGCTTATGTCTTCTGTGTGTCTCCTGGGTTTAGGAACTCATCGAATACCTGCGCTCCCATTCCCACAGTGCGGTCTACGCCACCTCCATGTCTCCTCCTGTGGTGGAGCAAATCATCACTTCTATGAAGTGCATTATGGGAGAGGATGGCACAACAATAGGTAAGCCTCAGTCCAGATTGTTCACTTTTTTATATGTGAGAAAACTGCATTTCTTCCACTTTGCCTGTAGAACTCTATCATTTTGTATTTTAAGTTATTTTTGTGGTGTTTATTATGGATGGATACATCAGAAACACAGGTTACTAAATACGACAAACTAAAGTAGTTGTAAATAATTGTAATAATTTCAATTCGTAGGTAAGTTCCTAAACGAGCTACTACAGGATGCTAATGTGATAATTAACTGTGTTTCACCCATTTTTTTATTACAAGTGAGAGATTGACTTCAGATTTCGACTTCAGTGCCCTTTTAACAGTTTCCTCTTTATCTTTCAAACATGTATATTGTTAGTTCCAGAAATAAAATAGATCCTAACTGCACTGTGAGTCCTCGATAAGTTTCTAGGCATAACCATGTGATTAACAAGAAAATTTAGAAATTATAAGTACTTCTTTCACCATATTAGTTCTTTATGATATTTCATCTTAGGTATATAAGAGCCTATCATTGCCTATCATTGGAGTCATGAATATTATCCGTGTGTTTAACCAGGATAAGGATACTACTTAAAAATTGTAGAGCTCCATATTGTGCACAAAAGGCCAATGCTCTCTGCTTGTTATAGGATCATTACTCAACCTGATATATTGACATAAGATTCGGATATCACCTCTGGTGTCGCTCTCGATTTTCTATTTATAGACATGATTCTAATTGGTTAGACTTCAGAATCAGAACTTTGTAGTGCATTATGTCACGTTAAGGGATATTTCTTTTTATCATACTACTCCAATTGCGATGGAACAGAATATCGATGGAGGCTGTAACCAGGAATATATACTGAAACAGGATGGGGACTTTCCCTCCCAAACTTAGAAAGCTTATTTTAAAGCAGCACAATTAAGATACTTAATTTATTGGTGTGATCCACGTATGAAGCAAAATGGAAATATTTAGATGTGACACAATTAAAATTACCACTACAGACAATATTAGGAGATAAAAAATTATATTTGGAACAGAAAAATAATTTAAATGAATGGACTAAAACTCCTTTAAAGATATGGTTTGATGAATGTGAAAGTCTTAAATTAGGAGCTGGTCTCAAACAACTCAGATGGGTCACACATGATAAGGAATTTATCCCTGCACAAATAGATAGACGTTATACAACTTGGTTAACAAGGGGGATCGGACCATTTTGCTCATTGTTAGGAAAAGAAGGATTACAAAGTTTTGAAAAATTAAGAGACACCTATGGTTTGGAAAACCAAGATTTTTTCAGATATCTCCAAGTTAGGTCCTATTTCAATAGTAATATAAAAACTATAGAAGAACGTAATGAAGGCCTAGTCCCCGTTATAAAAGAAGCTTATAAAGGTCAGATTAAAAACAAATTGATTGCTAAACTTTATCAGAACTTACAATCACTTAAGGATCAATCAACCAATTATATCAAAATTAAATGGGAAACGGAGGCTAAAATCAACATATCAGAGGACAGTTGGTTAAATATATGCAGGACACAGATGGAAACTACTAGCTCGGGTTATTGGAGGGAATTCACGTGGAAAAATTTTATTAGGTTTTTTATAACACCCAAAATAAAATACAAACAAAAAGGTCAACTGACAGATGGACAATGCTGGAGAAACTGTGGGGAAAACATGGCAGATCATTTCCATATATTTTGGAAATGCCCAATAATCCTGTCATACTGGAGTGAATTGGTCGAATCAATTTACTTGGTGACTGGTCTCAAACTAAATTTGGATTTTTGTACTGTGTACTTGGGCGATATCCCATCAGCAGCCTCCTTAAAGGACAAATACTTGATAAACATCCTGTTGGGAGCTGGCAAAAAAGCGCTTACCAGGAGGTGGCTGGAGAAAGAGCCCCCAACAAAGAAAGATTGGATAGGAATAATGGAGGAAATATATAGAATGGAAAAACTTACCTTTTTTTTTTAACCTCAAAATGGACCAATTTCATAAAAACTGGAGGAAATGGGAGAGATTTGTTGAAGGTGGTAACGTGGGATGAGAGTATTCACGCAACTACTGTAAGAAGGAAGGTCGCTTAAGGATTGTTCTTTTTTTTTTGTTTTTTTAATTTTTTGGTTTTTTTTGTTGTTGTTCTTTTGTTTTTTTAAAGGTATTTGACAACTTCAATATGATCAGGGATGGACTGTAAAGTGCTGAGAGACAGTAGTAAAAACCTAACGACATGGGACCTGTAAAGAGGTGGAGGGGAGCTCCCCCAGGCCGAGAAGATCTGCGTGGTTCACTGTGCCATTATGTTACTGTTAGAGGAAAAACTATTCAAATAACAAAAAATGTTTTGCTTTTAAGGAGTCATTATGTTGGATGTTGAGACAAATCTCACTTTCCACTTGCATATAGTGCACTCCACATGCACTGCAGTCCATGACCACATCTGAATCTGATTGGTATATAGGCACACAAAGATGTTATGTTGAGGTCAGAAAACTTCCTCTATAGATTGATCAAAGAGTGATAAACAACTAAACTCTGCAGCAACGTCAAACTGCAAAACAGTTTCGGATTAAAAATGTAAAAGTTAAATGGCCAGTTTCAGCAAACTTCAGGCTGTTCTTGCATATTTACTATAGTGCATAATGGTGCAGGTCCTTGGTTATTTGTTTTGTTGCATTATGTTTATAATTTGGTGACGTCTCCACTTCTGATGATTTTATGTCAGCAGTAATTGTTATGATGGGCCACCAGGTGTCACTGCAAAGTTAAGAATTGTAGGACTGGAGCCAGCATCTGGTCTTTTTCACCAGATGTTATATAATAAGAAAAGGAGTAGAAGGGGAAAAAAGAAGGATGTCCAGTTATAAATATGTATGTATTTTTTTTTTATAATGGTTACTTGATTTAATTAAAGAGGTTAAGGAATATTTTATGATGATCTGTGTTTATAGACGAGGCAATTCTATCTCCTCTACATGGATTGTTTAATCTAACTTCAACCCTTTTGCTAGAACAGTTCAAGATGTCTAAAGTCCACAGTACACAGTTTGATTCAAATGTAGACGTGCAGAACGTTTCTTTTTCATCTTTGGAAAGCATCATTAAGAGCTCATTTTTATTTTTTGCACTTCAGGAAAGTCAAATTTAGTAAAGAGTAAACAGCCCTCGGTAAGAGAATCTCCTCTAAAATTGAGTTGCAATCAGTTGCAACCAGTGACTGACAAAATGTGGATGTAAAGAAAAATTATTAAAAACCCACAAGAAAAAATAAATCCAGACGAAACTAAATATGGGTAGATAAAAGATGAATGATACAAGCATGACACAATTTAAATCATGCAAATGCAGATTTACACCAAACAAACTCGTTATTATAAACAAATAATAAACTTGTTTGTTAACAAACCCAGACCAACAATAAAAACAAAAACATTTAACTGATAAAGCAGTAACTGCAGGCAGGCTTCATTAATGAGTTTGCTATATCCAGTGAGTGTGAGTAACAAATTACACTAAGCAGAGATGAGTGGATATCACAGCGCTCTGTGAATATTCACATATTGTCCATTAACACATCAGCATGTGATGACTTGTGTGTCTAACACGTTAAAGTTGCAAAGCAAACGGCTGTCATCACACTGCAAAAAACAAAACCTAGATGATTAGATATAGATGATCTTAGAACGCAGGACATCCGTGTGATTAACTTCCATCGTGCTTCCTATCAACTCTGTCTCCAAATTTCTTCATCATCCTTAGGCAGTGAGCGTGTGCAGCAGCTGGCAGAGAACACGGTCTATTTCCGCAAGAGGCTTCGAGAAATGGGCTTCATCATCTACGGCAACAACGACTCTCCCGTCGTACCCTTGATGCTCTACATGCCTGCCAAGATAGGGTGAGCCTCCATCTTTGCTGTTTACTACTGCTCTGATTGCTGGAACTCTTAATTGGAGCCTTAGAGCAATACAGTGTGATCAATTATATCATTTGTTGATGAGTATTGGGTTTTTTGTTTTTCCCCTGAAATATTATTAAGGTAACAAGTTTAAAAACTCTGTTATAGCAGTGGACAGTAGACAGTGTCCCAACGTCACATCACAAGAGCTCAAGGTGTTAAACTGACTGCAGAAACTGAGTCTAGGTGCACACATGCTTTAGTATCAGTACAAGGACTGTACCTCTGCAGCTTTAATTAATCCTGCTGTAAATATCAAGCAAAACACTGGGACCAAAGAAGGTTTGGGACCATTCCTTTTTTCTTCTAATAAAGAATTTGTCTGTCTTCGTAAAGCTTCTGCAGACATGTTTTCACAGAAGACTTTACCCATCTTTTTTTGTCTGTCATACTCTTTATTAAACCTCTGCGGTTATTTTTGCTATTCAGTTTTTTTAATTCAATTCAGTTTTATTTATACTGCACCAAATCACAACAGTTGCCTCAAGGCTTTATGTTATAGGTAGACCCTACAATAATACATACAGAGAAAAACCCAACAATCATATGACCCCCTATGAGCAAGCACTTTGGCGACAGTGGGAAGGAAAAACTCCCTTTTAACAGGAAGAAACCTCCGGCAGAACCAGGCTCAGGGAGGGGCGGGGCCATCTGCTGCGACCGGTTGGGGTGAGAGAAGGAAGACAGGATAAAGACATGCTGTGGAAGAGAGACAGAGGTTAATAACAAGTACGATTCGATGCAGAGAGGTCTATTAACACAGTGAGTGAGAAAGGTGACTGAAGAAGAAACACTCAATGCGGGGAATCCCCCAGCAGCATAACTAAGGGAGGATTCAGGGTCACCTGATCTAGCCAGCTTTGTCTCTCCCACCAGAGCGTTTGGCAGGGAGATGCTGAAGAGGAACATTGGCGTGGTTGTCGTGGGCTTCCCTGCTACACCCATCATCGAATCGCGAGCACGCTTCTGCATCTCTGCCAGCCATTCGAAAAACATGCTCGACCAGGTAAACACACACTTAAAAATATCTTAACACGTGTTTAGTATTCAGCATGTCTCATTTAACACATTCTAGATATGATATTCTTTTATGGTAATACTCATAGGTAAAAGTCGACAATGATTTCTCAAAATTTTCTCAAAAACCAAGAAGAAGAAGCTGTTACACACCACTGTGTGTCATTAAATCCTGCTAAATAATGACCACTAAAAATACTGTTCTGCTCTGTTCTGATGTCTGATGATGGCAGTTAATTGGATGTAATATTCTGCAGCTTGTACTTAGTATGCAAAAGCTGTCAGGTTTTTTTTTTTTCTTTAAAGAAAGACTGCAGCACCTACAGCTGCAGATGTATTGATGTTGACTAGTCTTGCGTATCCACTTCTCGCTGTCCACATAGGCGAACGGTCAGGCTGAAGCCATTACATTTCAGTGAAAAACATTCCCCGAATTCCTCTAATTACTCAGAATTGTTAGACCCGAGCCTCTATGAATAAGCTCACTGGTGTTTTGCTAAGTGTACTTCCACAGGGGTTATGGCTAATTAGGGCCTGCACACAGATCAGGTTTTTGTCAAAGTTTTTCCAGCATGTAGCTTGTTAGCTAGATTTGCCGGCAGGAGTTCACAAGGAGGAGAAGGGTGCAATTACTAATAGTCTACCAGTGGCAGGCTTATTTGAGTGGTGCTGGCTGCTACTAGCCAGGCCTGATTTGTTTAGTTATACTCTCTAAAGTTTGTTCATTCCTGTTTCACAGCAGTGTAATGACCTTTGAGCTGTTTGAAACTAAGTGGAGAAATCTAGTTGGCATTAAATAAAGTGGAGCAGTCTAACAGGGGCAAACACTGTCTGCAATTTGAGGGACACTGATATGATCTCTTTTGACCTCAAATGTCTACCTATGCCTTGAGTAACTTAGAGCATGCCGAGTCCCTTGCAGCTTAATGTCTGACATCCCATTGCCAGAAATCCAT